CCATTTTCTCTCTCATTTTGTCATCACGGACCCCCAGCAGGAGGTGGTCCACTAAGAGCTTGTCCTTCATGCAGGAACATAGGCCACAGGTTTTGCTCATGGTGCGAAGTGTGGAGATATACTGCCCTATGGGCTCTCCATCTTCTTGGTTACGTCTGTTGAATTTAAACCGTTCGAAAAATTCCTGGCGTTGACCCAGGAAATGGGAGTCGAACTTCTCAAGTATTTTAGAACAGATCTGCATGTCAGCTGCATCATCAAATTTCATGCCATTGTAGATACGAACACCTTCAGTGCCAATACTATGGAGTAGCACTGCAGTCTGGTAAGACTCAGTCTGACTTGCCAGGTTTGTAAGAACACAGTAATTGTCCCACATTTGACGCCACATCTTCCACTCTTCGGCTGCATCTTTAGCATTTGCGTTAAATGGCTTTTTTATCTGTGACATTAGAGCTTGAAACAGTATTAGTGGCTCCAGGAGTGGTTGGCATTTTGACAGTTTCAGTTCAAGGTGTAGGCTTAGGCAAAAATATGAGCAAAACACTTCACAAAATCACACTATGGAACGGTGGATGGTCACTTAGCAGAGTTGAAATGAGAGAGGGGTGGCAATTATTCAGCAGAAATCACATGGGAATGTCACAGTCTAACATGTTCATGTGTTAGGTGCCACGCATTACAGTACATTCATTTACATGCAGTGCAATGCAGACTCAAAGCACTGATATTGAAACTCACTTAGGTCAGCAAAAACAGTCAAACTTCTTGCCAGTTACATCAGAAATGCTGTCCACAGTAGACAAAACAGATGTAGCAGAAGTTTCTATGAATGTTCAGGAAGATTACCGACCGCTGCCACCATGTTTCACGCGTGGGTATATGGCACAAAGAATCACACAAGTTTCACACTTGACTTAGAACTTTCTGGAAGCAGCCATGTTTCACAAAAGAGTAAAAGTGCAAAGTACTTTCTGAACAGCGCCCTCTGTTGGCTAGAAGGTGCAGGGTTAATATAA